TGTTGTTTGGCGGGTCCGGGCTGGGGATTCGAACCCGCCACCTTAGGTGTACGTGGCTGGCGCCTTAGCCGGTTGAGCTATAGGCGCCGAGCCCCCAAGGTGGAATTTGGAATAGAGATGGAAAAGGAAGAGACTTGGGGAAGCTCTGGTCTGGATGCATCCTTTCCTCACCCCTACAAGGGAAGTCAGAGGCAGTGTGCTATCTGCAAAAGGAACCCAGAGTGGGAGGGGACTTGAGACTCACGTGAGACAAACAGGAAAAAAAAACAGATATCAACAGAAAAATAACAATAATATAACAACAATAAGAACACTCTTGTACTGAGTTTACTGTGGCCTGACATAATTATCTTGTGTCTTCCTCATCAGAACTCTAAGAGATATTATTATTATCATCCCTATTTTACAGGAGATAAAATTGAGACCCAGCGAGGGAGAATTAAGACACAGATGAAAGAAACAGGAGAGACACAAAACAAAATAAAATCGTATTTATCAAGAAAGCCATCTGATTAAGTCAAACTTAACTGGCCAAAGGTACTTCTCTGAGTACTCAGAGAAGCCCAGCATTATCATGAAATCTTGACCACTATGAGAGTACTGCTGTAGATTACAAACAACAGAAAATTCCAACAACTAAATGGGAGTACTTATATCTCCATCTTATGTCCTATACTCACCAGCAATTTTGAGGTGTGCATTGAAATGTTTATGTGTCAGCAGGGGCTCTGGCAACTCTCCTAGAAACATCTTCAGCAAAGTGGCAACATCATTTGAGTGAAATTCCCCTGATTCCAAGTCAATGTCAGTTCCATTATTGAGAGCATCCCTTAAAATCTGCTGTCGGACACTATTCCCAGGTACTCTAAACAAACCTTCTACTCGCAAGTCTGCTTAGCATGAAAGAAAATGGAGGATGGGCAAAAAGGAAGCAAAAAGAGAAATTATTATTAAAATATGTAGTCCAAAAACTACTTTACATTTAAAAGACCTTTTACAGCTCTCAAATGAAAGATACAACTTAATTCTAGCCCAAGAATATGGGGAGGGGGTGGGGAAGGGGAGGGGAGAAGGGCGGCTGGGTGGTGGGGGTGACCGGAAAGATCACCTATATTTCTGTCTAACAAGGGTACAAGTGAACTTTTCTAGAACTAGAATATAAATGTTTTGACACAATGACTATGCAAATG